GCAAAAAGTTGACCCAACCTGACTCAAAAAACAAGGTTGAGGTCTCATATCTTGCTAGCTGATTGAGAATGACCCGGACCCAAAAAATTTGGGTTGGGTCACAAATCAACCCACTGACCTGATTATCAAGTCTACTTGAGACTATTTATGTAAGGAAAATCTATGACAACGAAAAGACATGATAGTGAAAAAGCTTTGACCAATCCCAACCCCAAGTGAATTTTGGTGAACACCCACATAATTGGTTTCTACTTTTGTAAGTTTTTCTGGTATCATGGTCAAATCCTTTTTTTTTTTTTTTGATAAGTTCAAACTCATTTATTTACTATTAAAGYTTTTCACTATTTAATGCTTAGGTTCAGAAAGAGTACAAATACAAAAACAAGGTATCTATTTGTAATTTACCTTATGGGGGCGTTCTTTTTTTTTGGATTTTGAGAGGGGGGAAGTTGGTCAATGGGATTTTGGTTCTCATTGACCAAGAATCCCATGTTCTTTTTTTAGATTTATGTGGGGACCAGGGAAAGTTTATTTTCCTGGGTATCACTTACCCTCCTAGGTGGGTAAATAACTTTCCCACTTGGGCGGAAGTTTCCAACACATGAATGGGACAAAAATGCCCCTTTTAATAATGAATTTTTATGGTTAAAATGGTCATTTCTTGTTTTTTCTTGGGAAATAAAAGAATATGGGTAAATACACTTAATTGGGTAAGTGTTTCCCAATAAAAACTTACCCACGTAATTGCATTTACCTGAGTAACTTACCGAAAAGTGAACGGAGCCTAAAATATATTAAATTAAAAGARCCATATAGACTTGGCAAAAAGTTGACCCAACCTGACTCAAAAAACAAGGTTGAGGTCTCATATCTTGCTAGCTGATTGAGAATGACCCGGACCCAAAAAATTYGGGTTGGGTCATGAATCAACCCACTTACCTAATTATCAAGTCTAATTGAGACTATTTATGTAAGGAAAATCTATGACAACGGAAAGACATGATAATGAAAAAGCTTTGACCAATTCCAATCCCAAGTGAATTTTGGTGAACACCTACATAATTGGTTTCTACTTTTGTAAGTTTTTCCGACATCATGGTCAAATCCATTTATTTATTTTTTTGATAAGTTCAAACTCATTTATTTACTATTAAAGCTTTTCACTCTTTAATGCTTAGGTTCAGTTTGGAAAGAGTACAAATACAAATATGTACAGTGCAAATACACACAAAATACAAAGTTTTGCACTTATACTCCTTCCAAACTGAGCCTTAGTATCATGTTTTTATCTTTTGGAGTTTTAAGGTTAATTTCTTTAAAATTTGGCATTTTTTTTTTATGTTTTTTCTTTATATTTTGAAATTTCAGTTATTTTAGGGTTGACCTGAAGGTCTACCTTAACTTGTGCATTTAGGATTAGGATCTAGCATTTGATGATCCATCGTGAAGCTTGACCCAACCCAAAATAAACATGAAAGTGTCTTGACCAATGTTTTCGAACCGTCGTTGACCCGGATGGTTGGACCATTCAGGTAAAAAACCGGTCACTTGAACGGTTCCGGTTTTACCCTGAACCGTCATCTAGTCCAAAACCGTTATAATGGTCAAAAAATCATTGACCTGGACGGTCGAACCGTCGACTCGTTTGACCCAGGCAACGACTAGTGGTTCGACATTTATATTTATTTTGATTTATTATTTTTTTAAATTAAAAAAAAAAAACAAAAAAGAAAATGACAAACCTATCCCAACTAAGCATTTGATGACTCCTCTAGTCCTCCCTGTAGGGTTTTGTTTTGCCAAAACCTAACATCTTCACAAGCTTCACCAAAGAAGATGACCATAGCACACCGACACCTACCTTCCCAAAGCCCGAAAAACCACCCGTCAGTGACCAAGATTTGCAGCGGCAACCGGTGAACACGGTGGAAGACTCTGTTTCCTTCGTTTCCGAACATCTCTGATCTCTTGAAACGAAAGGCATCTCTTGAAGGGAACGGCGGCGACCACTATGGACATCCAACCTCCGACGACCAATCTTAGCTGCGACTGCCGACGACCACTCTAGAAGGAGTACAACGGCGACTATAAGGTAAAAAACTTGCACGTGATTGTTTTTTTTTTTTCGTTTTTCTTTGATTTGATCATAATCTCTATGCATTAAGCAAAGCAGCCATAACTCATTCCCCTTTTTTATTTTTTTGCAATACTATGCTTTCTTGCATCAGGAACCACCATTTGCGCCAACGACCACTCCATTAGAGCAGAGAACCACTGCAAAATCACATCCCCTGTTTTCTAATATTGCTTTGTAGTTTAAATTGGTATATTACTGTATTTTTTAAAGCTTAAAGCCTTAAACTTTGGATTTATATCATGCCTCATGTTTTGTTCGTATGCCTGAATTGGTTAATCTTGTCATTTGGCTCTTTAGCTAGTTTTTTGAATGCTCAAGAACATAAAGTAGTTTTTTGAAGAAATTCATTCTCTCAGAAACTAGAAAGTTAGAATTGAAATTCATTCTCTTAATCTCTTAGAGTAGTTACTTTCAAAAAGACAAAAGTGTTGAAAACTTGAAATGCTCAATGTAGTTTTTTATTTCAATTTATTTTATTAATATATATATATATATATGTATACTTCAGACTGATTTCATTTGATTTGTTTGATAGTATATATTTCAGCATATTAAGACAAAAGTGTTGAATTGTTTAATAATGTATTTCAGCTTAATTTTTTTGTTGTTTCTCTGATTTCAATTTAATTTTTGGTAGTATATATAGTTCACCACTAGTATTTTTTCCTAGCATTTTTTCCTCCCAAGTGCTGCTCCAAACATTTGATATCTGTATGACTGAATTTTTCCTCGTACAAACTTGAGGAAAAATATTTGTATTTTTTTTGTAATGTTCTGTGTTTTTTTTCTGTATTTTTGGATTTTTTTTATATTTTTAGAATTTTATGTATTTTATTATTTTATATTTAGATATTTTTTTCATATAATGTTCTTTCCTTATATTTTTCTGTGTATTTTCTGTTTTTATTTAATTTTTATGATATTCTTGTTACATATAATTTTTTTGTTTTTTTAATTTATTTATGATATCACAGGTCGAACCGTTCGACTCGGATGGTTGCCAAACCAGAAAACGGCACCTAAAATGGTTCCCTTTCCGGATCTGTTTTTAAAACCTTGGTCTTGAGTCTTGACCCAGGTTGCCAGGTCTAGACCTGTACGATGCACAGGCTGTTCAAACGGGGCCTTGCAGTGACTGAAGCCGATCTCGTTAAAAGATGCTTCGTTTTAAATGTCCACGTCTAACAAGAGAATGATGAATGATCAGATTCAGTTTTAGAAATTGAATTGCGTGAGTGACATTGACATGTTCTATTCCCACTTGATTCGCTTTACCGATATAATTTCTAGTAGACAGGATTTTAAGTCCAGGTGATAGATAGGCTATCACCTGTTTCGTCAATCGGCTACATGAATACTGATAGCAAAAACAATCTCAAGGATTTAAAAGTAGCAATGAATACGTATACAATCACGGAACACTGTGAAGCACCCATATATATGGGATCCATATTCATTGACGTTGGAGTTGAGACGGACTTAGAATCATTTGGAATAAAAAAAAGGGTAAATTATAAAGACCCCTATACTATATGATAAAGATCATCTGTTTGTTTTGCAACAAAAACCCTCCTTAATCATCATGAAATAAAGACTTTCCTTGACCGTTAAGTCAGATGACAGAATGCATTAAATTATCAAAATACCTCACTAAATTTTTCTATCTTCTTTTTTTTTGGCCCTTTTTCTCTTAAAACCTATTTAACTTACTGTCCTTTCTTCTCTTCTTTTCCCCTCCCTCATCACCTCCTCTCTAATTCTTTCTTTCTCCCAACTCTTCGCTTCAAAAATTTACAAGTTAGTTCTGATTACCGCACAAATCAATCAACCCCATTTATAGGTTACCCGAGTACTTCTCCACTCGCCAACAACGTCAAGACAAAAGAGAAGGTCAGGGAAGATTTGCTGGTTCGGATTTGTAAAAAATCAGAGCAACAGTGGACTCGAACCCTTTTAGACTTTGGAGGAAAGAACTCTCAGCTTTGACTAAGTGATGCACAATGGAAACCCTCAAGTAAGGCAGCGTTCAAATGCCCCGGGTGCAGATTTTCATCCTATTTAGCCTACCAGCGGAGAAAACTAGCTAGTGATGACTTCTGCTGTATATTGTGCTAATTAATTACGTACTTGAACAAATGCCCTCGCGTATGAAAAATATGATCGGTTCCAAGGAAGAATCCGCCAATCCTTACATGATGAGAGATTTACTCCATTGAACACCTGGAAAGTTAGAGGCCTAACTAAGAGAACCAAAACAGTGATGATGGAAATAAGAGAACCAAAACACAAATGCACCCCGATGGTCGAGTATCAAACAACAACACAAATATGATCAAGAAAGCGCAAAATGAAGAAGAATTCCAGCTGCCGCCGTCACCACCATCACCACTGTGGACAGCAGCACCGTGATGAACAGTACCGCCTCCATTTTCGTCTCCACCGTGACCACCAGTATCATGATGCTGGGTAGCAGCTTCACCAAGATGTTCGACAATATCATGAAAGCCATCTCCTTCCGTTAGCATCATTGGCTCGTTTATCTTGGGTTTGGTCTGCTCTGGAAACTAATTGACGGATAGCGAGAACACCTCAGTTTGGGTTTGTTCTGAAATGGAACTCAGCCTCTGCATCAGAGAAAAAGGGAAAGGGAAAGAAGAGAAATCCGGGGAGAGAGAAAGAGAGAGAGGATTTCAGAAGTCCTGCCACTGCTATTTGTGTATCGTGAGGTTGAAGAAGATAAACAGTATTTTTCTCTTAAGGGTAGTATAGGAATTAAAAAATATTATAAGAAGATTTCAACGAAAGACTAACGGAAGGGGGTCTTTGTCTCAGGGTCATAATACATGAGGGTCTTTATTACAAAACAAAGTACAGGAGATCTTTGTTACAGACCCCATAGTACTGAGGAGGTCTTTGTAATTTGCCTATAAAAAATATTTTGCATCCTATATTTCTATTGGCATATACGAATACGTAAAGCATCGTTCAAGTAAATAATGATATATAAAAGACGCCACAAATTCAATAAACGAGTACCATTTGAAAACCATCTGAATCATCATCTGATGATGATAACGCGTGAGGATCGGTCATGTTATTAGTAGGATCAAATCAATTGAAGGATCAGTGCTGGACCTCTTTCTCACCTTTTACTATATGAGTCCTTATCGATGAAAGAGAACTTATACACCCCACTTTTTTCGTAAGAAAGTGTTCATTGTTCATTGGTTGAAGTGTAAGGACACTAGCAAGTAGTGATCAGAGATCAGATTTCGGATGGACACATGATGGATGACCTTGTCTAGTAGGCAATGCAAAACGTTCCGTCGGGTGGATAACTGGATACAGAGGCAGCTAATTCAGTTGAGGATTCTTTAAGGAGAGGGTGAAAGTATGGGTGTCAATTCGACTAGATTTGGTCCAATCCGGTCCAGTCCAATGTGAGCATTACAAATGGACCTGGTCCAATCCAATCCAATGAATATTTTGGATCGGTTCAAAGATTGTTCAAATTTCTGTTAATTTAAATTGGTTTCAACTCAAACCAGGTCCATTGATACCTATGTTCTAATCTTCTATCAATGGACCAGATATTGGCTCAATCCAATATAAATTCATTATGGACGGACCAGGGCCAATCCAATAAGCCATATTGGTCCTTCCAAATTCAATATGTCTTATTGGTCCGTCCAATCCATCCAAATGGATTTTGATTTGGACAAAGTCCAACCCAAAACCGGTCCATTGACACCCCTATGAACAGGGGTGGTTTGTACCGGGAGCTAGCATTGAGGACTAACTGAATGGGATAAATATATGTGCATATGAGGGGCTCTCTATGGGTCCAAGACGTCCCGGGTGGAAATAGGCAGATATCAAATTTTTGTTTTAAGGGATGCAAAGAAATTGAAACTCTAAAGGGGGTGTTAAAGAACCACTCAGGATTTCCTACTCACTTTTCCTACCCACTCTCTACCCGCTGTGAATTGGAGCCACACATCTCTATTATGAATTGAGAGATGTGTGACTCCGATTCACTATGGGTAGAGAGTGGGTAGGAAAAGTTAGTAGGAAATCTGGGCTCGTTAAGGAACATGGTTGGTTTTGTTTTTGAAAACTAAAACTGCCACATCAGCAAAATTATAGAAATATCTATCTATAATTTTTCCTTTCACCATCTATACAGGAATGAATTTCCGTAGATTTTCCACAAAAATCCAGCTCTTTTCCTCCTGATATCTCTCCCTCTCCAAGAACAATCTCACAAGTAAAACCGAATTCCCAAAATTGGATCAACGAGTAAAAAGAGACCTTAAATAAATACAAAATTAAGATATACGACCAGAAAATGCTTGTTGAAACCTCATAGCAGATTGATCACCCTACAAAACTGTGTTGGCCAAGACCTACAGTGACGAGAGAGTCTGTGTGAACCAATCTGATAGGCGTCTCATCTTTGTAGCAAGTTCTGCATTTCTTCCAAAGTAGGAATGAGCAATCAACAACATAATCGAAAAGTTATGCTTCATGGCATCCAAGCTACGGTACTAGTAATTGATGTTGTCTGATTTGAGGTGTTGCAGACCGAGGACACAATCAGATAAACCTGCCAACTGGACGAAGCCGCACACTAGGATTTGCAACCATGAGAGAAGGCCAAAGGCCCAAAGAGTTATTCCCCAGTTAGGTACTCTAACACTCAAGTTAGTTGGATAAAGGAGAACAGTTAGGCCGAGCAGAGGAGAACCGTGTTGGTCCAAGCATAGGAGATAGTGCAGAGGTATTCTCAAAGTGCTTCCAAAAAGTCCCTTACCTTGAGCAGAGGTTACCTATTTATAATTAGATCTTTGTGTTCTAAACAGATGAGGCTTTTGGGGTTGTTGGGAAGAAGTTGCTCACCGAGGTGTTCGGGATGTTCCCTCTTCCCTAGCGGAGTTAACTTCCTCGTCCGTATAGGACACTCCTTCTTGGTTGTGATTATCTATCAAGCGTGGTGCCAACATGGTCGGAGAGAGATGATGGTTGCGGAGGTTGCCATGTGGCATTCTGATCCAGTTCAACAATAACCCAAACACCTCTCCCAGTTCCGAAGTCGAGGAGTGTAGTGCTTGGCTGCGGTTAGGCGTGGAAGAGCGCTACAATCTTTGGTTGAGGAACTTAAAAAATTTTCTTCTTGGGTTGAGTGGTTCAGAACATGGTCGGTCCACTGGTTGAACCGGCCGGTTCAATACTCAT